GGAAGACACAGAATCTGAAGCAGGCTCCAGGTTCTGAGCTGTCAGCACAGAGCCTGATGCAGGCCTTGAACTCACAAGCTGTGAGATCATGACCTGAGCCAAAGTCGGACACTTAACCGACTGAGCCACAGAGGTGCCCCTCAAAATAGAGATTTACCACTTATGTATATGCCCCAAGACTTTTATTTACTTTGCTTAGTTTTTATAAAATGCTATTATATTAAAGGTGGTCTTCTGCAACTTGTTTTTATTTGGATTCAATATGTTATATTTAAATATCTATCTATATTGAGTATAGCTATAATTTATTCATTTTAAGCGCTGTATAATATTCCACTGTATGGACTCATGTAAAAAAATGTGTGTGGCAACTTGGCATCTAACAGCACAGCTTCATTTTTTTTCATCCCAGCCACATTTTTCCCATGACTCAAATTTATTTGCTTTTTTGCTTTCAGACCTTTCCACCTCCAAACCAAATTTTATAATCAGTATCAGAGTTCTCTTCCTGATACAAATGTGAGAACCAGTAATGTCTCCCCCCTTCAAGGCCTCAGTGGTTTTCCTGGCTCTCCTAACACAAACCCAAAGTTGCCTATCCTGCCGTCCTGGCCCCTCACAGCCTCGCTGCCACGTTCCTTTTTAGTCTCACCTCCAACCATAAATCCTCCCCTTCTCGCCGCCTTCTGCCCTACCCCTTCTTTGCTCAAGCCACACAGGAGCTTTCTCACTTCCCAAATCAGCTGCAATTTTATCTTTGCGCCTATAATTCCCTTTGCCAAGAATGACTTTTTTCTTTGTTGAGACAATGGAATACTAAGTATCATTCAAGACCTGGCTTTATTTATTTATTTTTAAATGTTTTATTTGTTTTTGAGAGACCGAATGCGAACGGGGAAGGGGCAGAGAGAGAGAGAGGAAGGCACAGAATCCGAAGCAGGCTCCACACTCTGAGCTGTCAGCACAGAGCCGGATGCGGGGCTCAAACTCATGAGCAGTGAGGTCATGACATGAGCCGAAGTTGGACGCTTAACAGACTGAGCCACCCAGACGCCCCTCAGGACCTGGCTTTAAAGTTACCTCTTCTGTAAAGTCTTCTTAGAACCCTGAAAAACACAACTAGTTATTCCCTGCAGTGTGCACCCATAATAATTAGTAAATTGTTTTGTACTTGTTAATGTCTGTCTTTTTCATAAGAGTGAATAAGCATATCACTCTTTGTGGACGTAAAACCCCATCAGATTAAGGACCATAGACTTTTTATTGTTGAATCCTCCCACAACACTGCTATCCTTCCTTCTCCTACCCCATGGCCCCCATCTCAGTAGCAAATTGGGGGCCCTGTACACAGGAAGGGGCTACTAGACGTTTGCCAGACTGACTAGAGCAAAGAGCACTGAAACTCCTTCCCAAGGGCTGTGTTTAGAAATCACTATGATCTTTTCCGATGACTGCATAGCAAATTGGATTTACCTTTTCAATTTTGCATTATTCTTATGTTATTGGGATTATGATGAATAATAAGATAATAACAGCAATTAGCCTCTGGATGACTAATGGTCCCTTAAATTGATTTTGAACAATCAATTTGAACATCTTCCCATGGCCAAATTAGAATAGGGCGGGCCAGAGTGTTCCATAAACATTCCAACGTTTTAAAATTATGTAAAATTACGTCCAATGAATACAGAGGGAGGTATAGGAACTCCCTAGGGTTTAGGCATAGGAGTAGGGGCTATTTTATGATTTAAGCTCTGTTTCTGAAAAGCAGCAACCCAAAGGATCAATAGAGTTTGTCCCAAAAGTTTGTTCTTAAGTTAGTTGTTTAAAGTTTAGCGGCTACTTTCAACATGGAACTGGTATTATACATTTTGTTTCGGGTTCCCCCCTCCAATCCACCAAAACCTACTGAACCCATGGAGAGAATGACGTATACTTGATTTTAGCCATAGTTTGTCAGACAAAATCATTGAGGAGAAATACCTTCAAGGCCCAACGTGGCTCTCCTAAGAAATAGTCTCCCCACTGCAGTGGCTGCTGGAACCACACATGGACTACCTCATCACCATAGAAGTGGGCCTTACCTCACTCCAGGCTACTAGGGATGGAGTTTTCAGCTTATGTCCAAGAGGACCGTGGTAGGAGGAGGAAAGAGGTAGAAACGAGGGGAGGGAAGATGCTACTGTTTGGGTGCAGAGAGCTGTTATGGAGAGCATAGCTTCCTGCCGGTGAACTGTCTAGGTTCATCTTTACAATTTGCCAAAGTTTGGTTCTCCTTTTACTTTTTTTTCCCATAGACTTTGGAGATTTCTGCACATAGTGTCACAGTTTCTGTCACTCTAGCTTGGTTTTCCAGTCCTGAGCTTATTTTATTTTCCCAGGCCTGATCCAATGTAGAGATATGTAGCCTTTTATTAGGAAGCTAGAGAAAAGTGTCATAAAGTAGTTTTAATTTATTGCACAAAACAAGGGAGTAAGTTCTGAAGAAACATTAACAAATAAGCATAGCACTGATTAACAGATTAGTGTGAGAGACAGGCACAGACATCAAAATGCATAATGACAAGGTTTGTGTCAGCAAAGTGATATAAGAGCCTTGAGAAGTAATTAATTTTCTCAGATGGTGTTTGAAGACCCCATAGAGAAGAAGGCATTTGATCTGGGTTTTAGGCGGTATCCAACCCAAATGTTCACTGAGCCTTCCTGATCCTTTAGATATAGAGATTGGTTTGGGTTTCAATTTTTGTACTCTTTAGAAGTTAAAAAAAAAAACCCTCTCATGAAGTTTCTGAAAATGTCTGGGTAGAGCTATACTTCTGTAGCTGGAACTCATGGCTTCTCCCTTTATGAATTATCTTAGCATTACATATGTACATAGTACCCCTACTTGGAGAGTGCTCTGAGCTGTGTCAACCTGGACCTTTATCTTCATTCTTCTTTCATACACACACACACACACACACACACACACACACACACCACTCATATATATCCACTTTTATGTACAGAATATTTTAGTAAAAAATTTGGGGAGCTAACAGGAGTTTTGCATTATAATAATGCAAATAACCTCAAACTGAGTTGGAGATGCTCTTGGTTATAAAAGTCCCTTTGGGGTGCCTGGGTGGCTCAATTGGTTAAGCATCCAACTCTTGATTTCAGCTCAGGTCATGATCTCATGATTGTTGGGTTTGAGCCCTGTGTCAGGCTCTGCACTGACAGCATGGGGCCTGCTTGACATTCTCTGTCTCCCTGTCTCTCTCTCTTTCTCTTTCTCTCTCTGTCTCAAAAATAAATAAACATTTAAATAATAATAATAAAATCCCTTTACTACTGAACGGGATTGTTCATGGCTGCTTCATCCTACAGAATATCTAAAGCTTCATACCACTTCTTCCCTTCCCCATATCTTCTCCAGACCCTATTTCTCCCAGATGCCTTCAGGAACTTCTAAATCACAAGATACATAGAATAATTATGGTCATTGATCATACTAGAGTGAAAGATGTTCTAGTAAAAATGTGATTGTAAAATATTTAAAAGTGAGAATTAATATGTTTTGTACCTACCTAGGGACTCATCAAATTTCTTCCCTTGGTCCCTCAACCAGTCTGTTACACAGGATACATTCCTGAACAAAAGCCCACCCCTGTTTTTCATGGCACTACATTTATAGGATACTAAGGCATAAATGGATTTAGAACTAAGAAATAAAGTAAGATGCATGCATAATGAGTACCCACACACACACAATCATCTAGAACTAGAGAAGATCCTATAGAATAGAGTAAGAGGAGAGAGGAAAAGGACTGGGGTGCCATCATCAGGAAGATTCTGTTTTGCCTGAGTATGGAGCACCTGCCACCAGTATGGGAAGGTGTGTGGACTGAGAACCATCCCAGATCTATTCTAGTAGTGAACACCATGCTCTACCTTTGAGGAAGAGTACATGTGACTGACATCAGTAAATCTGAAAATGACCAACTGACAGCTGCTTGAGCCCTGGTGTTTTAATATGTCCCCACTATAATTATCCTGTATGGACAGCTATCTTTGAAAAGCAGGATGATTACAAACTTGGGAAACAGAGACTAAGACCCTAGATGCCTCGGGCTGTGCTGGTGATGGGGAAGGAGAAAAACTCCTAGCATCATTCCCTGACCTCAGGTTACCCTCTGCCCACAATACACAGGTTAAGGTTGAGTATAGATTAACCAAGCCAAAGCACCCACTGAGTAATATACTGGTGAAATATCTATTCCTTTGGATGTGGAGAGGGATCACATGAAGGGACAAAAGCAGAGAGGAATCAAACAATTCTGGTAGTTCCTGGACATGTTCTTTAGAAACAGATTTGTGAGTCAGATATCTAGAGCTGCAAAGGAAGACCTAGTCTCTTGATTGGGTTGAGGATATGAGATACAGGTGCGCTGCTAATAATAAAGCCAGGATAAGGACTGCAGAATCCAGCAGCAGTGGTGGTGGTTAAAGGGAAGAGCCAAAATATCCAAAGAGGAATGACCTTCCCTTCCTCTTTCACATTCCTTTTGGCTTTCAGTATGCTTAGCAATTTCCTCACATATGCATTAGTCTCACTAGGTGTCACCTTTAAAATATTTATTTTAATGGGTGATTGAATGCCTACAATTTGCCAGGATATGCTATATGCTTTTGGGTGTGTTCTCATATATCTAATTTGATCTTCACTCTGACCATAGGACATTGATATTTTATTCCCATTTTGCAGATTAAAAAAAAAAAAAACAAATCAAAGATATGAGTTGATTTGCTTAAGGTCACAGAAGTAATAAACGTCAGAACCAGAATTTAAGCCTGGCCTTCTGATCCTGACTTCATGAGTCTTACTACAGCAGCAATATATTCCTAAAATATTAGATTCAAAATGAATGTTAGAAATTACTTCATCCAGGAATGACAGATATATTCTAAATGATGTGCCGACTCTAATTGTTCTAGGTTACCTGGAGTGTGTGCTGAGAAGAACATGGGAGCCTATCGCAGGCTCAGTGGGAAAAAGTGCCATGATTGATTCCTGATGTCTGCTACAGGCACCTATGCCAGGTACCTTCCAACCCTAACTTGGTTCTCTCCTACCATGTTACAGCTGGGAACATCGATGCTGGGAGATTTAAAAAGAATTGCCCAAAAACACACAGCATGGTGTTGGCAGAGATTCGCTAAGTCTCCCCCTCTCCTGACTCCATATCTGGTGCTCTTGGCTGAGCCCCGGACCTTACACCGGAGCTCTCATGGGAAACCAGCCAAATCACTGTTTCTTTGTGAATCTCTTTCTGACCTTGTTTTTCTGTTGCATATCAGTTATGCACATCATCTGAGTAAAGTGCTTTGAAGAGGAATCCAATGTGAAATACTGGCTTGCAATTATCAATACAGTTCCTCAGTCAAGGTTTCTCTTGAGGAATTGCTGGGAGGGACATGTTCCAAGTGATTGATGGGCACCAAGTTTTGGGGTTGGGACTGGTAAGCAAATGCAGGGCGGTCAAGAAATAACCAGAGCCAACTCAGCATTTACGAACTGGCTGGTGCTAAATTTTCCTGCACAATTTTGATCTGATCAGCTCAAAGCACTATAGAATGGTTCACTGGTGCAAGGAAAATGACTGAAGAAGTACTGTGTTTAAATTTAGGAGAAATAACCTGAAGACCATAGTCATTCACTGAAATGGCATCCATTTAATGATGAAGAGAAAGTGCATATATGTAAAATGAAGTAGAAGTTTGAAAAATCTATCCTAGGTAATTCAAACAGAAAACTATTTTATAGTAGTACCTAACTCATGGGTTGTTGTGAAATTATATGAGACAATGCTCATAAATTATTTAGCTAGTGCCTGGCAAGCAATTATTGCTCAAAGAACAATAAACAATAATATATTTTTTTCATAAGAAAAGATTGTAGGGGTATGTGTGTGTGCATGCATACACAAATGCCTATGTCTGTGTTTGTGTGTTGCCCTCTTTGAATCATCTACTTGACTAACTCGATTATCTTGTTTGTAGGCACCCTCTTTCCAATTCATTCTACATCTGTAAATGGAGAACACGCCCACTTTCAACTGGAGTGTCACATATTTCTTTCACTGAACGCAGGCTCTTATTAAATCTCCTGCTGTTTATAAAACGTGACTAATTAGCATTATTAGATTAGAGTTTCTGTTCATGAAACTGACTCACAGAAAGGTTAAGTGATCAGCCCCAAGTCACACAGCTTCTGAATGTCTGGGCATTGATAAAAAAACAGTCTTTTCCTCTCAACTCAAACTGTTGTACACTCTCTCTTCTTTATATTTATATTAAAATGATTCTGCTTCTCCAACTTCCCTTCCTTCCTTATCCCTTGTAGGTTTTTTTTTTTTCCATTTTTTACTCTAATCCAAATTAAATCTACTTAGGAAATTTCTTTTATGTGTCCATTGTTGATCACTAGACTACAAATAAGGCTTTGTCCCTATTAGTGGCAAATGCTGACGGTTGCTACTCTCCACTTTTTCTGTTGACAGATTTTCTTGAAATCACCACTGCTCCCTCACATTACACAGGGGAAAATAACCCTATCCCAGACTCCAAGAATACAGGAATATCCTCCAGGGTTACAGGATCTTTTCCAAAACCCCTGGTGGATGCCTGTGGATAGTATCAAACTCTACATATACTATATATTTTTTCCTATATGTGCATACCTGTGATAAAGTTTATGAAGTAGACAAAGAGATTAACAACAATAACTAACAATGAAATGGAACAATTATGACAATAGACTGTAGTGAAAGTTATATGAATGTGCTCTCTCTCTCTCTCAAGATATCTCCTTGTACTGGACTCACTCTTCCTCTTGTAATGATATGAGATGATCAGATGCCTACCTGATGAGATGAAGTGAGGTGAATGACCCAGGCACATGACATAGCGTTAGTCTTCTATTAACCTATATATCAGAAGGAGGATCATCTGCTTCCAGAACAGGGTTGACCACAGGTAACCAAAACCATCAAAAGTGAAACTACAGGTAAGGATGGGGGGTGGGGGGGGGGACTTCTGTCAATTCAGAATACCAAGGTTGCAGATGGCTTGCCAGGAACGTGTCTAGTGGAGACCATGTGATTGTGCTTTACATAATGAGAGGAGGTCTACTCAGGCCTTCTGGGAAAAGTTTCTTTACCAAATAGATATTTATTTTCTTCTATTAGATGTTGGAGTACTGGATGGAAAGCTAAATTTGCCACTGCCTTGGTCCCAGAGGTAAGACTGTTTCTGGCATTCCAATACCAAACCCCTGGGTCTCCTGGTTTGTGAAGCAATTTCCCATGTGAGTTAGGATTTTCTCTAACTACGTGCTAGAGTGATCCTAACTGACAAGGCACTCTAAGGAAGACCTGAAGTTCTTATTATGATAGAGTGTGTGGTCACTAGCACACCCTGTAGGGTCAGGCACAAAATGGCATATTGTCTCTACTCTTTGCTGCTTGTGCAATGCTTGCAATGCTGAACAATACTCTCTCCCTCCTTTCCTGCTTTATTGTTCTGAGAGCACACATGACCCTCTGATACACTATCCATTTTACTGTATACTTGTTTATGTATTGAATGTCTGTTGTTGGAGGAGGTAAATAAGAGGATGTGACATCGGGTTGAACCATAAGCTGGACCCAGGCAATCAGGCTCTTCATCCCCCACTTCCCGACCCTCTCCCCTCTCTTCTTCCCACCCCCTGTCTTGGGAAGTACATTCTTCCTATGGTTCCTACAATGGGAGCTGGTCCAAGAGCATAGCCTGGAGAGAGTAAGATGGTGTTGAGACCATCCAGAGAGTACAAATGACCGACTCCACATAAGGTTTTTACAAAAACTTTTAATATTTCGACAGATGGGTTCAGAAATCTACCTGTCTTGTGGCTGCCCCAAACAACTTTGTAAGCAACTTCCCTTGCTTATCACTGCCACCTACGGATCTGAAGTGGCTCCCTCTTTCCTTGATGGTTTTCCTTGTCCTCCATGTAAGTGGGCCTGTCTGCCAACCAATATCTGTCTTCTCCTTCTTTGTTGTAAGCTCCATGTAGGCAAGAATTTTTATCTGTATAGTTTGCTTCTAAATTCACAGAATCTGGCATATTGCAGAGGATTAATAAATGGTTGCTTAATAAATAAGTAAGTGAATAAATGGATTAATAAGACAGATGACAGCTAGGATTGTTGTGATGATAAATTTAGAAAACATATGTCAATATTTCAACACTGCCTGGACTACTATTATTAAAACAAATAAAGACACCCACTTTTTTTAGTATTGGCATGATATCTGTAACTAGCTCTAATATAAATATCTATTGAAAGTCATCTGTCATGCCGGTTACCCTCCAGTGATAATAAATGCTTGTTCTTTTAAGCAGCTAAGTTTGGGGGCTATTTGTTATGTAGCAGTAGGTAACTGATATACTTCCTCTGCTCCCTATCTTCCTCACCCTTTTCTCCATGCGCTGCGTTCCCTTCCATCAGTCCCAGTTTTCATTCACCCAAGTGTTTATTTTTATTCAGTGCACATTCATATGTGCCACATACATGGAGGCTGTTGCGTTAGACAATCCAGGAGGATTTAAGTCATGCTCCAAGATGCTTCTTTGGACTTGTGCGAGGTACCCTGGACTCAGATTCCCACAGCACTCTTAGTCTGAACTCTGTAGCTTGGCATCAAGCTTTCCTGGACTGCACTCTGGCTGTTGCAACAATCAAGAACAGGAGACTAAACTTCTAGCATCCATGCATCCCTTCAAATAGTGTGGAATTTCCAAATTCCTCTGGGGGCATATCTGCACATGAATCTATCTGGTTATCTCTCAACTCATATTTCTCTTGCTCCAAAGACTTTTCATATGCCAACAATTACATGTTTTGAATGTTTACTTTGTGCAACAATTTCACATGTATTATCTCATTTAACACATTATGACCCATTATGGAAGACATTATGATTGTAACCCTTTCATTGAAGGGAAAACAGAAGCTTAAATAATTTAACCAATGTAGGAATAGGTAGAACCAGAAACTGAGCCCAAGCAGTCAGACACCAAAGCTCACAAGCTACGTTTGTACACTGACTCCACGTTGTCATGTACTCCCACACTCCCTGAGACAGAATCTATTACATAGTAAAGAGAAGCAGCTTAGGAATGTGAAAGTTGAGAGTTTACTCATGGATTCTTCTGTTAGTACCTGAGTGAATTTAGCCAGTCAATTAATTCACTGCATCTCAGTTGAATCATTTTTTTAAATGGGAAAATGTCTACCCTGTTTACTTCCTAGAATCATGTTGAGACTCAACACAAGATAATGTATGTGAAAGGATGTTGGAAATGATCATTCATGACATGCAAGTGAAGTATTTGATCATGCAATCAAAAATCTGTTTTGCATACTTTCTATGAGCAAGACCCTATTGGAAGAACTGGGGGCACAAGGCTTACATGGTGCCTCCTCTGCTAGCTTTTATAATCTGTGGAGAGGAGGTAGACTACAAACAAATAAAAGATAGCATAGTGTTAGAAACGTATTCATGCTATCACAGCAATGATACATTAACAACAACAGCAACAAATAGATAAATGGGGAATCATCTTCCAGTTAAAAAAATAATAAAACAGCACATTCAAATGTTCTGAGGTGAGAGTACATCTAATGTGTTCTAGAATGGCAAAGAAGTCCATTGGCTGAATTAAAGTGAGCCAGAGGGAGAGTACTAGAAGCAAAATTAAGTTGAAAAAGACAGAGTAAGAGTCTGTTAGTCACCATATGGCCTTTGCTTCTCACTGTGAGTGAGACGGGTGTCCAGTCTATAAATAACCTATGCCTTGGCCTCTCACTGTGAGTGAGATGGGTGTATATTGGCATGATATGATTGGATTTACCTTTTTAAGGGAATTCTCTGGATCCTGTATCAAAAGATGATGGTATCCTGGGTGAGGGTAGTAGAAGTGCACGGGTGCAGAGTGGTTGGGTTCTAGGCATACTTTGAAGACAGAGTAGACAAAATACGCTGACAGATAAGGCATGGAGGATACAAGACAGGGCTTGACAATCACCCGGGCATTGGGACTGAGTCGCTGGAAGGATGGAGTTTGTATTTACAGACATAAATAAGAGTGTGGGAGCAGATCTGCGGGCGTCACGACTGGGATATCAGTGACTGTTGATGGGCTGATTAGATATTCAAGAGGAGGTGCCCGGTGTTGGATGTAGGCCCTGGGGCTCAGGAGAGACATCTTGGCAGGAGTTGTAGATTCAAAAGCCATTATTGTAAATGGCATTTAAAACCATGGGCTAGGGGGAGGGGAAAAGGAGTGATGGGCGTGGAGGAGGCACTTGTCGGGATGAGCACTGGGTGTTATATGGAAACCAACTTGACAATACACTATTGAATAAATAAATAAATAAATAAATAAATAAATAAAACCATGGGCTGGGTGTGCCTGGCTGGCTCAGTTGGTACATCATGCGACTCTTGATCGCTAGTCGTGAGTTCAAGCACCACACTGGGGATAGAGCTTACTTTAAAACAACAACAACTACAAACTCATAGACTGGATGAGATCACCAGGCATAGTTTAGCCAGAGGGGAAAAGGTACCCTGGAACACCTAACATTTAGGAAGGAGTCCCCAGAAAAAGACACTGGGAGTGTTTGGTGACGGAGGAACAAAACTAAAGGCCATGCATTTTGAAACTAAGTGTAGGCAACATGTTTTGACAACAAGGAAGTGGTAAGTAAAATGATGCCATTGAGTCAATTAAGATGAAAATGACAAATGGAATATTCACTTTAGCAACAGAGAGGTTAAGGGAACCTTGAAAAGACACGTAATGTTGTCATTATTATTAAATTCAATGAGTGGAAAGAATGCTGAATTTGGAGTCCTGACATTCAGGTTCAAGTAAGACATAATAAAGGAAGGAGATAAAAACATGAATGGTTTCCTCCCAGGGTGATTATCACGATCAAAAGATATGATGAAGTTAAACATACCCTGTGGAACAGGAAGGGAAATGCAAATGTCAACTCAAAAACATCAAGGTCAGGGGGCATACGTGATCATTAAGTACCTGTAACACCTTTTATGCTCTTGAAGACTACTCAGCCACGTCCCAGCCCCCACCCCTACCCCACCACACACAGGCACACACGCACACACAGATTCTCTCAATAATACTAGAGACTGAATATGTATCATGGAGCTCTAGAAGGTTTAAGAGTTAAGCCAGCCTGTTGCAGCTCTGGTGCTGCTGACATTACCAGACGGCATTAATTTAATTCCACTCAGTTATGCTTTTAAATTTGATTTGAGAAATGTGTCATAAAATGCTATTGAGAAGTGCGGTGCCGCATTCCTAAGCAGGCCTGGAGCCTGTGTCTGTTCTGGGAATCCTTGAGGAGAATGGATGAATTCAGGTTGAGCCTATGGACTTGAGGGAGTTTACTCTTTGCTGGAGTCTGGTGGCAGAGGTTTGCTGATCCTGGATTGCTCACTGTTGAGAGGAGATTAGGAGCAAAGTATAAATCCCTAGGAAGTAAGGAAAGGTCTTCCAAAAACCAAGTGAAAGTATAGGGAAGATTATAATTTTAACAAATAACAAGGATGGCTTAAAAGACTTTAGATATGAAACTGAGTTTATTTTAATGTACTTCAGCTTATTTTTCATACTGGGTCATCAGTTTGACTTCCTCAGTTTTCTTCTCTGGCCTCAGTTTCTCGGTGCTTAAACTGGAAGTAATAGACTAGATCAGAAGTCTTCAAAGGGAGGCAAAGCTTTCTCAAAGTGCATACACAGTGATCCACTGGTGTAAGGGTAGAAAATTCTGGACTTTCACTTATTTCTAGGGCATTTTTAAAAATCTGTACGTCTTATGTATGTTTTTGCATATAATATAAATAGCAAGTAAATAGTCTATAATGTTTGTGTATTCTCCCTCTCTCTCTCTCTCTCTATATATATATATATATGTATCTATGTATGTATCTATATACATACCTCTCTCTCTTTCTCTCTCTATAGATATAGATATAGATACACACACACATATATACACACATACACTGGTTGATTGATGGATATACTCTGATACAGACATGTAACCAAAATAATCTAAAGAGTGCCTGCCTGATTGATTTCTGTGTTTTTATAGCTTTTTTTTTTTTTTTTTGGTAATGATTTTATGGTCCTGAAATGAGTTATTATGATCATTGCGATTATCTTAAAACTGTGAAATGGCAATCTGACTACTGAATTGAGTGCTCCGCTTTGTCTTTTTGCTGATTTTAAAAATAAGTACGTAACACCCTTTACCAGAAGCCGAATGAAGTCTCAGTGAAGCATTGTCTCAGTTTCCATAGGCCAAGAATGTCTACAGTGAAACTTCATATGGAGTCCTCAGTGGTAGGTAGGAAGAGATTTTTAATGTAGTCCAGGATGTCTTAGCTGTAGGCCTAATTCTGTCACTAATTTGCTGTGAGAGCTTGAACTAGTCACTCCCCTCTCTGGGGCCCACAGTCCTGGTGTGCATTTGCAAATTTGGATTTGTCCAGATGCACATCTCAGCCCAAAGCTGGCTTCCCCATCCAGATCTTCTCTGACTCCTCTCTCAAAGGGCTGCTGCTTGCCCTGCCTGCAGTAACTCTTTATCATACATACTATTTTACTTTCTTCATAGAAGAGTAACTATCTGAAATGGTCTGTTTACTATTTTGTTCATATTGTCTGTCTCCCCTAACTAGAATGTGAGCTCCATGGAAACCACAGGGAACAGATGCAGATGTACCAGGAGGCAAATGAACTTTAAGCATTAGGACTCCAGGAGTTGTGTTAGCAATGTGAGCACATGGTTATGTGTGTTTTCTTTTCTCTTCTTCAGAATTTTCAAAAGGAAAGTATTTCATTACATAACTGATCAAAACTATCATTTCTTTTCACCCTGATTGTCCCTCGTTACAGTGGTGTGGGTCTTTTTGTATCCAGCTTAAGGGGATGTTAATGGGTATATGTTTGGTGGGGTTTGGTGGGGTTTGGTGGGGTATGCTATTGTGGTTTGTCATCTCTTCTGTGACTAGTTAAGTTACTGTTTGCAAGATTTCACAGGTTAGTAAGAAGCAGAGCTAAGATACTTGCCGATGTCTAGTACTAATGATCTTAGCATTTTGAGTCATCGCTTTTTTGTAAGTTTAGTGATCAATCAGCAGGTAACTGGTTGCAAAATTTGCAAGTATGATAATATAAATCCAGCCACTTGCCAGTATTTAACACTCATTCCAGACCTGTCTTTCTTGCTGTAAGACATAGTTCTGCTCTCATTACCCATTGTCCAGCTTGCTCACTGTACCCTTTTTGAATTATATTCTTGGCTCTATTAGATTGTCTTTTTCCATCATTTTCTTTGGTCAAAACTGTCTGGCCCAATCGAATCATTGTATATTCTCATTCAGAGATTGTTGATTTGACATAAACTATAAACATCAACAGAGTTAGCATAAAAGTCATACTATGCCAATCTAATATGGACCTTGATCACAAACTCGTTCATGGGTATTATCAACACAAAGAATATTTAAGTTACATCACTGCATGAAAAGACTTAAAATTCTCAAAATGTCAATGCTTATATATTAAATAATTTGATATCAGTCTTCTCAAAATGACATCAATGCTAAATATTTACCTACTAATTTTCAATAATGAATTGGGAAGAATAATTGGAATTTTTTGAAGTGTCAAATAAGAAAGGAAAATAGCACTGGGGGGGGTAAAGTGAATTTCCTAATCTCTTGATAGAAAATGATATAAATACATCATCATATGAAAATATCAAAGTACACAGATAAAATGTAGACAGCATTATAAAGGTATGGCATGTTGGTTATAAAGAAAAATCATGTTTTTCTGGCTTTTGTGAAATATATGTCAGTATTTCAGTATTATTATTTGTTAAAATTATTTTCTAAGGTAAAGATATACTTTCAAGTCTACATTTTTATTCATTATTTCTGTATTCATTTCTTAAGGAGGCCCCAAGATTTTACAACCTACAGGGTCCACCCTGGCTGTGTTTTCTCTGAAGCTTGTATTCTCAGATTTTAGAACCAGGAGAGAGTCAACAAATGTTTGCAAGAATCACAAGATGTTTTCTAAGAGTACTTTTTCAACTTGATTTGCTATTTCTTTTGAGAACTACATGATAGAAACTTTGACCTTTATTTCTTGGAGGCCATGGGGGATTGCTCCAAGGAGATCTGTTCCTGGTGAGGAGTACAGAATCCACTTTTAACAAGCACCCCAGTGCATGCATAAGCCACCCTCTATGATCCTCTGAAGTAGGCTCTGCAGCCTCCAAGGCCACCTCATGCACACAGAAGCCTCCTCCTACCATCTGAGCTTACTGGCTGAGGCACAGTTAGGGCTCACTATGGGTAGCTCATCCCTAAGGTCCTGGCTTCCAACAGTGAATCAGGTCATAAATTCCCTGTAGTCATGGCACTGCCCCCTTCAACTACCATTGCCGCCTCGCCCCCATCCCCAGCCTGGCTTGTCTCCTTTGCCCTGTAATCACAGATCACACACGTGTCCTCTCCTAATGATCTTGATATGTGACATGGGTATATTTTGCTCCAATATTTGGCAGTTCAGTTGGGAGATATATAAGGATAGATTATCCCATTCACCTGTAGGCATAAAAATAACAAAAAGTAAAGCAAACCAAATATACATTTTTTTCCTTTTTGTCATCACTCCTTATGGAATAAGGTGCATACTCCTAAGCATGAAAATCAAGATTCTTTCTCATCTGGCTTCAGCCACCTGTCCTGTTGGATTTTAATTTACAAAGATCCAATGCTGGGAATGGTACCACCACTTTGCCACCATTGTAACTGTGTTTAGGATCTAGGTGCACATTAAGAAAAACAGTCTTTTCTGATCATTCTCTCAATTTCATGTGTTTTTCCCCTTTCTCACTACCTATGGTTATCTTAATCTCAATGGGTCATTGATTCCTCAATGGCCAAAAAAAAAAAAATTCCCATGGTCAACTATTGGGATTAGAGAAGAGCACTGTATCCAGCAGATACTCACTGGGAGTATCTTCATCTGTCCAGAGTCTTCATCTGTCCAGAGTTAGCACAATGACTTCTGTGACACAGTGTCTGACATATGAAAGAAGATAAAGAGTGAATATTAATTAAGGTATTAATATTAAGGAAAGTTATAATTATCTTCATCTTTTAACTCAAGAATGCCCCAATCAGTAATAATAATAACAATGGCAGTAATATTCATAGTGTCTTTTCTTTCAGGCAGGGACTGTGCTAAACACTTTTGAGAATGTTATCTTAGGGGAACCTGGGTGGCTCAGTCAGTTAAGTGTCTGACTTTGGCTCAGGTCATGATCTCACCGGCATGAGCTCAAGCCCTGCATCAGGCTCTGTGCTGACAGCTTGGAGCCTAGAGCCTGCTTCAGATTCTGTGTCTCGCCACCTCTCTGTACCCCCCACCCCTCACTCACACTCTGTCTTTCTTTCTGTCTCAAAAATAAATAAACATTAAAAAAATTAAAAGAAGAGTGTTATCTTAAAATTGCAGGTTGTCTTTTTTTTTAAATGTTTATTTATCTTCAGAGAGAGAGAGAGAGTGCAAGCAGGGGAGGAGCAGAGAGAAAGAGAGAATCCCAAGCAGGCTTGGCACTGTCAGTCCTGAGCCTGACACAGGGCTCAATCTCATGAACCAGGAGAATCATGACCTGAGCAGTGACCAAGAGTCCCACACTTAACTGACTGAGCCACCTCGGCACCCGGGCAGGTTTTCTCATAGTCTCCATTTTACAGATGATGAAAATGTGCTTTATCTATATGATGGAATACTACATGGCAATGAGAAAGAATGAAATCTGGCCTTGTGTAGCAACATGGATGGACCTTGACGGTGTTATGCTGAGCGAAATAAGTCAGGCAGAGAAGGACAAATACCATATGTTTGCACATATAGGAGGATTAGGAGGAACTTAATGGAGGATCATGGGGGAGAAGAAGGCGGAAAATAGTTGGGGGGGCGGGAGGCACACCACGAGAGACTCTTGAATGCTGAGAACAAACTGAGGACTGATGGGTATGGGAGGGGAGAGGGGGAGATGGGCATGGAGGAATGAGCTCTGGTTGTTATATGGAAACCAACTTGACAATAAACTATCTGTAAAAAAAAATAAAAATTTTAAAAAATTTAAAAAATAAAGAGACTAAATAAATCAAAATTACACAATTAATAGGGAGCAGAGGCAGGATTTGAACCCAATTTTAACCAATTGTAGCAGCAGTATATCCTGTTACTATATCTTGTTTCTCATTCAATTAGAGTAATTAATTATAATCAGATTTCTATTTATACTTTTCTTTCTCCTCCCCAAAAAAATCATCTTTGCCTTCATGTGCACCACATATTGTCCCCATCAAACTATCTTAAGAACTAGTTGAGAATTCTTTGCAGTTAATTTTTATTTTCTCTCTCTTTCTTTCCATCTTTGTCCTTCTGACACCAGTGGAGTTACATCTTCCTTGCAGTTTCCAATCTCAACTCGCAAAGAATAAGGCTCTGGGCTCTGCAGGCCGAGAAACTAACCTTGGCATAATGAATGACCTGCAGCTTCAGAATGCCTCCGGAATGCCAAATGACCACGGCTCCATGCCTCTGGAATGTGGAATGGCCCCTGCATTAGCCAGGTGACCCACAGCTGCACACCACTGGAATGAAAAATAGATTCTGGCTCAAAGAATACCAAATGCCTGCTCAAGGAAAAAGTAACGGATAAGCCTTCCTGCTGGGGAAGAAGAAATGGTAGTGATTGACATTGCTGCTATGAGATAACTATCTGTTAATACTAAAAACACCTTCATCTGAGTCATGGCAACTTCTGTGAACCGCCTGCTGAAAACTGTCTGACCCTCCCCAAATCAGAGAAACAGATCTCTTCCCGTGGGTAGAAATGTGCTCCCCCTATTTTATGCTTCCTATGCATTGCCTAAAAGAAGAAACAGAAATCTTGTTTCCAAAATTTATTTTCCCAGGGCATTAATTTGGACTTAACAAAATTTTGTAATCCCTTTAGACAGCATCGGCGTCTACAAAGTCCTGTTCAGAGAATGCAGTTCCCCAGTGAGGGCGCCTGAACCCTTCCTGGAAGTCCCCTGCAAAGGAGACAAGGTGTAGGGATATTTGCATCAATCATGCTCACTAACTGGGATTTTAATGTTTCTCTCTCCCCTTTTCTTCATCATCTTTTTTTTCTTCCCAGTGCCATTCCTCAGTGAATATTTCTTTCTCCCCCCGCCCCCCATTTCTCTTTTCCATTGCATTTCAATGCACTGGTTTTAAAAGGAGGATTTGCAAACTGAGTATTAAAACTCCAGGGCACTACATCTCCAAAATCTATAAGACGATAAAAAGATAAGAGGCCAAACCCACTGAAAGCTTCCCTCCTGGTGTCGTGGAACTTGCAGGCTGGTCTATAATATCCCTAAGCCAAAGCAATCTGCCCACCTCCTCCCCACCCCACCCTCCCTGCCTAATGCAGGCGGATAAACTTTGCATTAAAATCCCCACACTTTGGCAAATGAGTACCCAGGAGGCTGCTGACTCAATCAGGGCTTGTTTTACTTACAGTGTAGTACTGAGAAAAGGCCATAAACTCCAGCCTGACAGATCTGTGATGCTCATTTCAATATGCTCTCCCTGTGTGCGGGCTTGCTGATGAACTTTCATATTCCGCCAACAAAATATAACAAACATATTAACGACGTGTGGTAAATTGCCACTGGATATAGTGGGTCCTGATGACGGAAATAGTTGTGAGTAAATGAGATTGTCTGGCTGCCTAATACCACTTTGGGGTCCAAGATAATGCACTGTCTTAGAGGGATGCGGGCAGAGGAAGAGGGGGCAGGCCAGCTAGAGAGGGACCCAGATGCCTTTGCCCAAGGCAAATGGGGCACTGGAAACCCAAGACAACAGGGTGTCAGAGCTATAGATGGTATCTGCTTAAACTCATTAATCTGATCTACATTAAAATCAAGATCCAGAGAGGAGATGTTAGAAGCCCAATGCTGCAGAGCAACTACCTGATTCCTGAATCACAGCCCAGTGCTCTTCTGGTTGGTGGATTTGATTTATACTAGCAGCTGTCTTTAAGAGAGTAGTTGGACAGCAAGAATACAAAGAAGGTTCCTGTGGCTCAAGTCAGTCCCGCATTCATCAGTAGCAAAATGCACTGCTAGGCTTGTCTTTCTCTTTATCTGTAGTACTTGACACTTCTTTTGGGTGCATTAAGGGACACCAAAGGCTGATTCAGAGTGAGTGTGCGGTAGATTTCCTCTACGGCAACCCCAAAAGGACAAGTATAATTCCCTTACAGTTGTCATAGATTCCTAATGACCCATTACAATTCTGACTCCAATTCTAAAGTGTGTGTTTTTCCCCCAAAACCACCTAGCCATTTTCTGGTACCAGCTGGGTGTTACAGTCCAACTTGACTCTGACACGGTCTACCTGGAAACAGCATCAGGGTCCGTAGGTCCACAGCATCTCAATCCCATGAAATTTTTCTCTACTTCCGATGCCAGTCCCTCCCAAGTTCGGACTGTTACCTGTGCTTTTGACTGGTCACTTATTTCAGATAAATTTAAGGTTTCAAGTTATCAAAAATATTTTTAAAATGTTTTTTAAGCAGACATACCTTAAGGCATAACTGTTTGTTGAAAAAGTCACTCATAAACTTATATCTTACTTACATCTATTTGATTCATTGTTCTTAATTATGTTTATATTAGTCATGAAAATTTCATGAGACAATAAACAGCTAACCATCATCTTAAATTATCTTTCTGGCTGATAAATTCTTTAACATAGAGAACATGAGCTTATTTGACTTTTAGTAAAACCCAGGGAGAATAAAAGTATTATATCTAATGCTGATAACTCTAAAGACATTCTGATTTTAATTAAACCAACAAACTTAAACTAGCTCTTATTTACCAAGATTAACCTAGATCACGTGAACTTGAAAACATTTGGGTTAGGTTTTTTTGTTTTTGTTTTTGTTTTGTTTTTTAATCTGAGAGTATAGGATGCAAACAGATATTTTTACTTTAAAAATTTAACCATGAGAGATATGAAATCATTCAAAATGCACTAGTTAATAACAGGGCAGTTGCATCCAGGTTGTGTTTCTGGCAGATGGAAGAAGTTAAGGTTTTCTGTTGAGATGGCTGACATTTTTTACTAATATTTGTGGAAGAGATTTTTAAGACTTCCTATAGGCCAAGTTTTCAAAATACCCTTCACCTCCTTTTTCTCTTCTTATAAGAATTACCTTGCCTCCTGGAGAAGACAAGGTAGAAGACTTTCATCTCAAAAGGCACAGAGAAATAATGCAAGTTCTATCAAGGACAACTTTGTTATGTACGCCCAGATCTTTTACAATATCCACAAGCCCTTTGAGAAGAATAGGGGAAGTTTTGGGATTGGTAAAAAAAATACATAGGTGGGCTTTTAGTTGTTTCTAGAGTCATATTTCTGTTGTTATGAAGACTCAATTTGTAGGACAAAGATAGTTGTTTTTAATTCCTCAAAGAAAAGGGTTGCTACCAGAATGATACAAAGAGGCTGATATATACACATCCTACTATATTCTCATTCATTTGTTTCTTTATACCAGGGACAAGATCTTCAATTAAGATGAAAATCAGAGGATTCCTATGTTCTAGATTTACAGCTGTGTGTCTTTGGAATGTTTAGTAAATCCTTCCACAAAGGCTTCAGAATGGTTTTATTTGCTTCTGGTACATAGTTTCATTTTAGCTTAGGGGGAAAGCCTTAAAAAATTAATTCCTATTAGGCTCTAAATATCAGCTTCTAATTAGGCCAACTTTTGAACATAAGGCCACTTACAAAACAACAACAACAAAAGTTTTTGAATATCTTGTCACGTTTCAGTTGGGATAAACAGTATTCTTGGCAGTATTAAACAACCTCACTGACACAAAAGGCATCCTCAAAGAGGGTGAAGAAGATATTAACCTTCCCAAGATCCAGAGCCACCCACAAAGATAACCAAAAGAAAGATTTAGACAATTCCTCTGAGACCTGGAAATAGTTGGTAGGACCTTAGCTACAAATGAAGTACAATCCACATTTCTGTCTGGCCACATTTTGGGGGGCCCCCAACCTGACAGTTGTCAAGCCAAGTTTTCAGGATACAAAAATGAGACAAACAAGAAGGCAAGGGCTATCCCTGGGAAGGAAAATATGGGCAACCAATGGGTACCTGAAAGCCAATTCATAATCACCATTACATCTTTTTTTTTTCCTGCCAATGTTGATTTGGGAAGGAAAGGACCACATGAAATTGTACTCTCCTGTCTTGACCAGGCACCACAGATAGAAATCTGGAGGAACTGACTTTGGAGGAACAATTCTTACATTTTGCTGGCTTCTGCCAGTTCTCCCAGGATCCCATCTGCAGGTTCTAGAGTCAGTTGATGGTTCCTGCAGTTCTTATGGAGGATACCAGAAAGGGTTCAGGAAGAAAAGGGCCGCCGGGGTGGCTCAGTCCGTTAAGCCTCTGACTTTGGCTCAGGTCATGATCTCATGGTTCATGAGTTCAATCCCCAAAGAGGGCTCTGTGCCAAAGGCTCAGAGCCTGGGGCCTGCTTTGGAGCCCATGTCTCTCTCTCTCTCTCTACCCCTCCCCTGCTGCTCTCTCTAAAATGTGAATAAATGTTAAAGAAAAAAAAAAAGAAACTGAAGGAGAAAAGATAATTTTCCCTCTAACCTTTATAGTGAGTTCCTGGCTGAGACACCTTTATCTCCAGGGCACCTCTTAAATGGATAAGCTAACCCATGGATGGTTTGAAATTCTCCGTAGTGGTCTCCATATTTCAAGATTATCTTTGGTAAAGTTAACCTACTTGTTCAGCTTTAAAACAAAATCTTGTTCACTGGAGGTCTCACACTGGACCCAGCCCAGATTAGGTCGGATCCAGCCCGACCCGTATTTAGTCCAGTATTTTAAGTCAGACCCAGGCCCACCCAGCTGAGTCAGGTTTCCCAGTCAGAACTGCTGTGTTCCTGGACCCAGGCAGGTTTCCCGGACAGACCCAGTTCGACTGAGGGCAGTTTCCCGACCCAGTCTAACTCTGATCGGGTCAGATTTCCCAGTCAGAACCGCTGATTCTGTACCCGGAAGGTTTCTGAATAGGAACCGCCGTGCTCCTGGACCCGGGCAGGGTTCCCGGTCGGAACCGCTGTGTTCCTGGACCCGGGCAGGGTTCCCGGTCGGAACCGCTGTGCTCCTGGACCCGGGCAGGGTTCCCGGTGGGACCCAGTCTGACTCCTGCGGGTCTCTGCCCCCTCAGCGGAAGAAGCAATGCTCGCGTCAAGTCTGAAAGCTGCTCACGGAAAGCTGGGGGGCTGGGATCCCGGTGCCAGGGACACCTCCCCGCCTCCTGCAGACCCAGCGGAGCAGCGGCCCAAGGAGCTCAGCAGGTACCTGTGGCTTGTTACTCCTCGTCCCGGGGCCTCGGGGTCGGGTGTCCTCTCCTCCTCTCCTCTGTGCCCAGAACTGTTAACAGATAAACTGAGACAGAAGCTTTTTATCTTGATGAGGTCCCAATAGTTCATTTTTGCTTTTAATTCCCTTGCCTTTGGAGATGTGTCGAGTAAGAAACTGCTGCAGCTGAGGTCAGAGAGGTTGTTGCCTGCTTTCTCCTCTATGGTTTTGATGGTTTCCTCTCACATTTAGATCTTTCATCCATTTTGAATTTATTTTTGTGTACGGTGTAAGTAGGTGGTCCAGGTTCATTCTGCATGTTGCTGTCCAGTTCTCCCAGCACTGGAAAAAAAGAGACTGTCTTTTTTCCACTGGATACTTTTTTGCTTTGTCAAAGATTAGTTGGCCATACATTTGTGGATCCAATTCTGGGTTCTCTATTCTATTCCATTGGTCTATGTGTCTGATTTTGTGCCAATACCACACTGTCTTGATGATGACAGCTTTGTAGTAGAGGCTAAAGTCTGGGATTGTGATGCCTCCTGTTTTGGTTTTCTTCTTCAATATTACTTTGGCTATTCGGGGTCTTTTGTGGTTCCATACAAATTTTAGAATTGTTTGTTTTAGCCGGTGAGAATGCCGGTGCAACTTTGATTGGGATTGCATTGAATATGTAGATTGCTTTAGGTAGTACTGACCTTTTAACAATATTTATTCTTCCAATCCATGAGCATGAAATGTTTTTCCATTTCTTTGTGTCCTCTTCAATTTCCTTCATAAGATTTCTATAGTTTTCAGCATACAGGTCTTTTACATCTTTGGTTAGGTTTATTCCTAGGTATTTTATGGTTCTTGGTGCAATTGTAAATGGGGTCAGTTTCTTTATTTCTCTTTCTGTTGATTCATTATTGGTATATAAAAGTGCAACGAATTTCTGTATATAGATTTTGTACCCTGCAACTTTGTTGAATTCATGTATCAGTTCTAGCAGCTTTTTGGTAGAGTCTTTTGGTTGTCCATGTAGAATATCATGTTGTCTGTGGAAAGTGAAAGGTTGACTCTTTCTTTACCAATTTTGATGTCTTTTATTTTATTGTCTGATTGCTGAGGCTAGGACTTCCAACACTATGTCAAACAATAGTGATAAGAGTAGTCATCCCTGTCATGTTCCTGATCTCAGGGGGAAACCCCGCATTTTTTCCCCCATTGAGGATTATATTAGCTATGGGATTTTCATATATAAGGAAACAACAAAACTAAAAGGCAATGGGTGGACTGGGAAAAGTTACTTGCAAATGACATACTAGATAAAGGGCTAGTATCCAAAATCTATAAAGAACTTAGCAAACTCAACAGTTGAAAAACAAATAATCCTATGAAGAAATGGGCAGAAGACATGAATAGACACCTTTCCAAGGAAGACATCCAGATGGCCAAGAGACACATGAAAAGATGCTCAAGATCACTCATCATCAGGGAATTACAAATCAAAGCCACACTAAGATGCCACCTCACACTGGTCAGAGTAGCTAAAATGAACAAATCAGGAAACTACGGATCCTGGCAAGGAGTGGAGAAATGGGAACTCTCTTGCACCGTTGGTGGGAATGTAAACTGTTGCAGCCCCTCTGGAAAACAGTCTGGCGTTTCCTAAAAAAAATTAAAAATAAAACTCCCCTATGACCCAGCAATAGCACTATTAGGAATTTACCCAAGGAATATAAGAGTGCTGATGCATAGGGGCACAGGTACCCCAATGTTTATAGCAGTGCCTTCAACAATAGCCAGTACTACTTGGCAATGAGAAAGAATGAAATCTGGCCATTTGCAACAATGTGGATGGAATTGTAGAGTATCATGCTAAGTGAAATAAGTCAGTCAGAGAAAGACAGATATAATATGTTTTCACTTATATGTGGTTTTTGAGAAACTTAACAGAAGACCATGGGAGAAGGGAAGGGGGAAAAATATTTACAGACAGAAAGGAAGGGAGGCAAACCACAAGAGACTTAAATACAGAGAACAAACTGAGGGTGGATGGGAGGGTGGGGGAGAGGGGAAAATGGGTGATGACCATAGAGGAGGGCACTTCTTGGCTGAGCACTGGGTGTTGTACAAAAGCCAATTTGACAATAAACTAATTCATTAAAAATTAAAATTAAATTACACTAAAAATTTTAAAAAAAGATAAACTGAGACCCATTAACATTTTTAAGAGTTTACTTGAATGA